TCTGCAAAGTTACGAAGCTGAAAGTTCAATGCAAACGGAGATATCGTCTTTTAAAATTCTGGCAGTTTAATGCCTACAAAAACGGCTGGTAGGGACTACAACAAGTTACTTCCCGGGTTCGTGACATCACAAACCCAGATAAACCCCGCCCTCGGAAACATGCAACAAAGGGGGCGGGGCCATGCTGCGCTGCTTTAGAGAAGAGGAAGAGAAAAATAGAGGTGCACGTAAAAAATCTATTCCTATATGAATCACGATTCTGTCTTCTAACGATTCTAATGGATTCACAAGTTTCAAAATCAATGTTCTAAAGCAGAGGTTCTTAATACTGTTCCTTGCGTTCCCATGCTCTGTCTCTCTCTCTCTCTATCATTCAGCTCAGCTCCAACAATGAACTGTTACAATTACACTTATTTTCACATAGCTATGAGAAGCGTTAAACATGGACGCACGTGCGGTTGGCGTACTGTATTAAAGCTTTAATCAGGATAAAACCGTATATTAAAAGCTAACATAAGCAGTAGCATTTACAAATAACAGCGTATCTAAAAGTTTGAGACAACAAACAAAAAACATAGGCCTATCATTAAAAGCCACGCTTGCACAGGTTCTGCACGATCCTCTTCAATAATATCCTCTGAAAAACGAAGCATTAACACATGTTAGACTGCACCCCATAAACACAATCAAGACTAAAAAAACCCCAGTGAACCACCCCTTTAAGCTCTTTAAAAACAGTATTGTGAAACATTATTACCATTTAAAAATAACAGTAGTATGTCAAAACGCAATTAAAGGCATCAGTTTCTCTGATTGAGAGAAAAGTCACATAACAAACGAAGAGAGAAACAACATTAACTGTCTCTCATTAGTTAGGGAGCAGTACTTTACCTGTTTCTCTGTCCTCGCTGCTGCAGTTGATACAGTGTCATGATTTTTGTGTTCATCCACCAAACACAGCACACAGATACACCGGTGATCGGTACGGCAGTAAACTTCCAGCATTTTATCATGTTGAGGGCACATCATCTCCTGCAGTCGTCCAGTGGCATCCATAAGATTGTGTCCTTTACCTCTGAAGAGATTCTCATGCTGTTTGAGGTGATTTTGACAGTAAGAGCTTCGACACTCCAGACACGATTTCACTGCTTTCCGTTTAATTAAAGTGCAGGAATCACACTTTACATCTACAGATCCAGTGTGATGGTGAAGCGTAGGAACAGGAGAAGGAGCAGCTTGGAGTCTCGTTTTCTTCAGTTTCTCCACCATTTCAGCAAACACCACATTCTTACCTAAAACAGGTCTTGGTGTGAAGGTCTGTCTGCACTGAGGACATCTGTAGATTCCCTTCCAATCCTCCTCGTCCCAGCAACCAGAGATGCATCCCTTACAGTAACTGTGTCCACAGGGAATCGTCACTGGATCCTTCAGTAGATCCAGACACACTGGACACATGAACTGATCCTCAGCCCATGAGATACTGGCTTCTGCCATTTCACCGCATGAACACAGACAGAGAACCTTTGGGTTATGAGTCCGACTCTCTAACCATTAGGCCACGACTTCCATTAGGCATTGCAGCGCTCCTGATGACATACTTAAACAGTTTTTTTTTTTTTTTTTTTGTAGGGAGTGACTGGTTTAAATGACTACACTTGATGACAAAGATGTCTAAAATACCATGAACTGAATATAATTTCAAGTCTTTGCATATTGATTTCTGTACTTTAATAGTACTAGCCTCACCAACTATGCTGCCATAAAACAATACAAACATAACTAGATCATGATGTGACTGTAGTATACCGTGAGAAGTGAGAGAACCACTTCTTATAATAAATTACTTGCACCTCAGAGCGAGCAGACTAAACAGAATAAATGCGGTCATTGCTTTTGGAGGTGGATGCTGCTGTTTGGGAACGCAGTTGTGTAAGACAGTTCTGGGAGGCAATTATACAGAAACACTTTGACGACAGACTTTGCTCGGGTATTTCGGTCGGTAAGAGATCGGTCCGCTGGTCAGTCAGGTTATGCCGTCCCATGGCGCAAAATCGCATTACATTTTTGGTGCTGCATGGAGGAATTCATTCGGCAAATGCGTTTCCATCTCCCATTACTCGCATTAACCATTTTTTGCACAAGTCAAAAAACACCTTAAGCGAGCGTGATAACTCTTTTGCAAATTTTCTTTCGAAATTTGGCATTTCCATCACTCGTTTCTGATGCGGTAGCCTACTTCAAAATGCGCATAAAAACAGGGTGATGGAAACATAGCTACTGTTATGCATAAACTAAATATGCATAAATTAAACATAAAAAAAGGAAACTCACACTGAAAGTTTAAAAAAATGCTATACATTAGGGTGACCATATTTTAGTTTTTAAAAAAGAGGACAGTAGGGGGCGGGGACAGGGGCGCGGCTTTGCCTAACAGTATACGTAGCCAAGGTTTTTGTTTGTTTGATTATTTTGTTTTTATAATAAATAAAAAGAAAATAAGTAGAATAGAAAAAGAATAGGGAATGCTAGCGTTAGAGGCTCTTCTTTCTTTATAAATAAAACAAGTAGTTAGAATAGAAATAGAATAGAGAGTGCTAGAGTTAGAGGGTCAAATGAAGATGAAAGAGATGTGTTTTCAGCCGTTTCTTGAAAATATTAAGGACGCAGCTGCTTGGATTGAGCAGGTCATTCCACCAGGAGGGAACAGTTAATGTAAAAGTCCATGAAAGTTTTATCGTAGGTAGAATGCAAAATGTTTCAATACAAGCACTTCAGTCAAATGCAATTTATGCAATATTTCAAACCTTTCACCCAGTTGGGAAAATCAACCCAAATATCCGATCTTGTAAGATGTGCTCCTTTTACACAGAGTGCGTGTGATCGCGAAATCGAAAGTGAAAGTAAACAGCGCAAACGCTCATTCAAAAATATTTCAATACACCGCATCCTGAGAGCGGCTCCCTGATGTGCCAAAATTATATACAATATTAGAATGTTTAAAGGAGTGGACACGAAAATCGCGGGAGATCCAGCTAACAAAAAAAGGTCCCCAGGACGTCCACTAAATGGCCTCTGCAAACGTCCCCCGGACGTCAGCGTGTAGGGTCCCCTTGACGTCGAGCGGACGTTCGCGAAGATGTCCTCCGGACGTTCAAGGGTACTGTTTTTGAAATAAATTCTTTGCATAGCTATGACAGCAAACACTGGCATCTAACATGCCTTGGGGAAAAAAAAACAGTTCATCTTAAAAAAAATAAAAAATAAAATCATATACATAAACCAAAATAGGAAATAAAACAGTTATCGAATAAGCATGTGTCCTATTCTGTGTCATCAACTCCTGAAACATTGGTGTCTCATATTTTAAATATGTATATGTGTGAAAATATTCAGATGTAACTCCCTTTGTAATCATTAACATTTTCATAAGTAACTGTAATTTAATTACACATTTTTTTCTCAGTAACTATAACAGATTAGTTACATTTACTTTGTAATTAAATTACGTAATTCCGTTACATGTAACTAGTTACTCCCCAACACTGTCCATAACCTATAATAATGCTTCCTCCAGTGAAAAAGTCCATCCACTTTTGTCCTCTACACTGACATATTTGTTTAGATTTTGTTCAGTTTCCTCTTGTAAATAGTGCATGATCATGCATATTTCTCTCCTGATTCAGATTAGATGACTTTATCATGACTCAAACAGTTCTCACTTGTCCTTGAACAGACGTTCGAAACGTCCGGGGGACGTCCCCTGTTTGCTGGGATGTGATTGCATTTAATATTAATATTTTCCAAAACAAACAAGCACTATGTAGAAAAATGTTTAATGAAGTCGTACAAGCACTTATCGTTCTGCAGGGGTTTGAAAATGTGATTGGAAGGAAATGCGGAAACTATGCTCATAATGTTCCAGTAGAAGCTACTGTAAGGTCCTATAAACATAATAACGTGTTATTGTAATACCCTGCAACAGTGCCAAACAATTTTAAAGCGCACTCGGTTCTGGAAATATTTTGTAAAAAGTTGAAATGCAGAAATGCAGCTTTGAATAGCCTATTAGTTTCATTAGTGATGAAAAATAATGAATAGGCTACTGACGACAAGCTGGCAAAACAAGCATCTATTCTAGAGTTATGTTCTAATAATTGAAGCAGGTATTCTGTGTTTACTTTCGCTTTGTTGGATTCAGCAATTACCTGAATTAATTATCTGATCTCACCTGTCTGAAGAAATCACAAACAGCGCCTTCGAGTGGTTATAGTGTTTTGTTTGACTCTTTAGTTGAATGATCAGAAAGTTGGCTATTTGCGGCGTTATTATTGTTCCCAGTGCTGCTGATTGTTAACAGAGGCGTGAAATCAGACAAGGTCTGCTTTCCGTAGAGTCACCTGATCTTATACATCGAATGAAAAGCTCAGTTCAGAAAAGGAAAACCAAAAGCCTGCTTGTGCTTCCTTTTAACTTGCTGATACGAGGTGTATGTTTTTGCAGAATGTGCATTATCATCTTCTGTTTTAAATGACATCTGACATTTTAAATGTGTAGCCTACATGTGAAAAACGAAATATAGGCCTATTGTTTGTGTTTATTTTCTTATGGGGAGTTTAGGGTATTTATGATTCAGTAGCAGAGGCGTTGAGCTTCCTCAAGGGTTCAGAAACAGGTGAATCCTGCTGGTTGAGATGCTAGAGATGTCTTGATCTCGTGCCAGAGAAATTTCAGTAAAAATGGCTCATGACTTTGTGTATTATAACCATGCAGCAAAATCTGAAGTGTGAATAATGAATGCTCATTTACAATAGCCTAACTTCTCTCATTATGGCGAAGTTTTTATTATGTACGTGTATAAATAAGCAAACAAACGAAATTCTTCTTGTCTTTCACTAGAGCTGTTTACAGCTGTTTACAGGAGGCGCTTGTGTTCATTTGTGCTGTACTGTGTTGTCTCGCCACTGGATGGCGCTTGTGTTCAGTGTTGTGTTTTCTGTCCTCTACGCTAGATGGCGCAGCTGTGACGGACAGGTGGACCACATGAATGTGACTTCTCCTTTGAATGAATTGTCAGGTGTTTCTTCAGGTATGAAGCCCACAGAAACATGTTGCCGCATTGATAACATGCGTACAGCAACATGAATCCTCACGTGAACAGTAAAGTACGATGATTGCGTGAAGCTCTTCCCGCACTGATCGCATGCGTATGGCTCCTCTCCAGTGTGGCTCTTCATGTGCCCTGTAAGATGTGGTTTCTGCGTGAAACTCTTCCCACACTGATAACATGCATATGGCTCCTCTCCAGTGTGGCTCTTCATGTGCCCTGTAAGATGTGGTTTCTGCGTGAAACTCTTCCCACACTGATAACATGCATATGGCTCCTCTCCAGTGTGGCTCTTCATGTGCCCTGTAAGATGTGGTTTCTGCGTGAAACTCTTCCCACACTGATAACATGCATATGGCTCCTCTCCAGTGTGGCTCTTCATGTGCCCTGTAAGATGTGGTTTCTGCGTGAAACTCTTCCCACACTGATAACATGCATATGGCTCCTCTCCAGTGTGGCTCTTCATGTGCCCTGTAAGATGTGGTTTCTGCGTGAAACTCTTCCCACACTGATAACATGCATATGGCTCCTCTCCAGTGTGGCTCTTCATGTGCCCTGTAAGATGTGGTTTCTGCGTGAAACTCTTCCCACACTGATAACATGCATATGGCTCCTCTCCAGTGTGGCTCTTCATGTGCCCTGTAAGATGTGGTTTCTGCGTGAAACTCTTCCCACACTGATAACATGCATATGGCTCCTCTCCAGTGTGGCTCTTCATGTGCCCTGTAAGATGTGGTTTCTGCGTGAAACTCTTCCCACACTGATAACATGCATATGGCTCCTCTCCAGTGTGGCTCTTCATGTGCCCTGTAAGATGTGGTTTCTGCGTGAAACTCTTCCCACACTGATAACATGCATATGGCTCCTCTCCAGTGTGGCTCTTCATGTGCCCTGTAAGATGTGGTTTCTGCGTGAAACTCTTCCCACACTGATAACATGCATATGGCTCCTCTCCAGTGTGGCTCTTCATGTGCCCTGTAAGATGTGGTTTCTGCGTGAAACTCTTCCCACACTGATAACATGCATATGGCTCCTCTCCAGTGTGGCTCTTCATGTGCCCTGTAAGATGTGGTTTCTGCGTGAAACTCTTCCCACACTGATAACATGCATATGGCTCCTCTCCAGTGTGGCTCTTCATGTGCCCTGTAAGATGTGGTTTCTGCGTGAAACTCTTCCCACACTGATAACATGCATATGGCTCCTCTCCAGTGTGGCTCTTCATGTGCCCTGTAAGATGTGGTTTCTGCGTGAAACTCTTCCCACACTGATAACATGCATATGGCTCCTCTCCAGTGTGGCTCTTCATGTGCCCTGTAAGATGTGGTTTCTGCGTGAAACTCTTCCCACACTGATAACATGCATATGGCTCCTCTCCAGTGTGGCTCTTCATGTGCCCTGTAAGATGTGGTTTCTGCGTGAAACTCTTCCCACACTGATAACATGCATATGGCTCCTCTCCAGTGTGGCTCTTCATGTGCCCTGTAAGATGTGGTTTCTGCGTGAAACTCTTCCCACACTGATAACATGCATATGGCTCCTCTCCAGTGTGGCTCTTCATGTGCCCTGTAAGATGTGGTTTCTGCGTGAAACTCTTCCCACACTGATAACATGCATATGGCTCCTCTCCAGTGTGGCTCTTCATGTGCCCTGTAAGATGTGGTTTCTGCGTGAAACTCTTCCCACACTGATAACATGCATATGGCTCCTCTCCAGTGTGGCTCTTCATGTGCCCTGTAAGATGTGGTTTCTGCGTGAAACTCTTCCCACACTGATAACATGCATATGGCTCCTCTCCAGTGTGGCTCTTCATGTGCCCTGTAAGATGTGGTTTCTGCGTGAAACTCTTCCCACACTGATAACATGCATATGGCTCCTCTCCAGTGTGGCTCTTCATGTGCCCTGTAAGATGTGGTTTCTGCGTGAAACTCTTCCCACACTGATAACATGCATATGGCTCCTCTCCAGTGTGGCTCTTCATGTGCCCTGTAAGATGTGGTTTCTGCGTGAAACTCTTCCCACACTGATAACATGCATATGGCTCCTCTCCAGTGTGGCTCTTCATGTGCCCTGTAAGATGTGGTTTCTGCGTGAAACTCTTCCCACACTGATAACATGCATATGGCTCCTCTCCAGTGTGGCTCTTCATGTGCCCTGTAAGATGTGGTTTCCGCGTGAAACTCAAGATTACGTTTGCTCGAGGAACTCTTTCCACACTGAGAGCAGGCTAAAGATTTCTTGGCTCTTCTTTTCTTTAAAAATGTCTTTTTAGTCTTCGAGCGACTCATGATGAAGAGAGAAATATGAAGTGAAAGGACATAAAAATGAGCACTGATGTAACGGCTATAAAATATTATAATGATTTTGATGCCTTTTAATAATGAATTATACGTCCCTGAAACTTTCAATGAATGAGATACATTGATTTTCTAGTTATTTTTAAAACATTAAAGGCAGTGTGCGAAGTAATTTAATTGCAGTAAGGTATTTATCCGACTCCATTTTATCACCACCTCAAATTTAGATTGGAAAACTAATTGATTATTGGTAATTTATATAATAATTTAAATAGATATTTGATTATTCTATTTAAATCTTTACTTTATATTTTACTCCTTCATTTGGATTCCAGTGTCAATTAGTGTCTAATCTCACGGTCACAAACTAGTTATTAGTCAGAGGCAGTGTTGGGGAGTAACTAGTTACATGTAATGGGGTTATGTAATTTAATTACAAAATAAATGTAACTAATCAGTTACACACACACACCCATATACAGATTTAATTGATTTCTTTCCCAAATTGCAGTGACTGCTCTAAAATATGAAACACCAATGTTTCAGGAGTTTATACGATGCTTATGTTTATGTTAACATCGTTATGTTCATGTTTATACGATAACTGTTTTATTTCCTATCTGGGTTTATGTATATGTTTTTGTTTTTTTAAAGGGGTCATATGATGCGATTTCAATTTTTCCTTTCTCTCTGGAGTGTTACAACTGTTAGATGCCTGTGTTTGCTGTCATAGCTATTCAAAGATTTGATTTCAAAAACAGTATCATAGCTATTAAACGATTTCTTATGATTTTAAATCTGTATTTAACCTCAGAACGATCTCAAAGTAAAAAGTGGTGCTAAATTCTGATTTTGTGGTTATTACATTTCCAAAGTAACCTTCCCAACACTGGTCAGAGGTTATGACTAATACTATTTAATAAACAAAATTAATTTAAACAGTAGTTCCATATAACAACTTATTACTAGCCATAGTACTAACTGAACTACAACCAGGAATGGGCAGTATTTGAAATACAAAATACTATTTTGTATTTAAAAGCCTTTGGAAAAAATCTAATGTATTTTGTATTTAAATATATTTAAGCTTAGTATTTTTGTATTTTCAAAAGAGAAAAATACTTTTTGCCAATCAACCTCTTAATTAGACTGCTGATTTCCTGGATCACCAAGTACACAAAAATACTAAGATTAAATGTATTTAAATACAAAATACATTTGATTTTTTCCAAAAGGCTTTTAAATACAAAATACAAAATAGTATTTTGTATTTCAAATACATGCATCTGAAATACTGCCCGTCCCTGCTGGTTATCCTTAAAGGGGTCATATGATGTTGCTAAAAAGAACATTATTTTGTGTATTTGGTGTAATGAAATGTGTTTATGCGGTTTAAGGTAAAAAAAAACACATTATTTTCCACATACTGTACATTATTGTTTCTCCTCTATGCCCCGCCTTTCTGAAACGCGTTGA